GTTCCTGAGTTTATTAAATGAATTTAAGAACAATAAAGTATAATTACTGCAGACTACTCTATATAATATGAATAAACTAATCAGAGTGAAAGCCAATATAATCATACTCAAAGGTGATGAGATGAATTGTTGCTTATCTGTGCTTGCAACTTATTAAAGACAGTATAAAAGCGACTAATTAAGACGACTTAGCTATATAAATAATTATCAAAAGAATTTTAGTTTAGAAATGTTAGCTATTTTTAATCATCTTTGTTGATTAAAAAGGTTTTTCATCATATTGATTTAGAGTAAGGTATTTATTTTATCTTATTCATAAATTACTTTTGTTAAGATCTATAACATATTGCTGCTATATTATTTAACATTCTTGCATGTTATATAGATCATTTACACAAATAATAAGCAAGAGGTTAGAATGTATGCAGAGGAAGTAATGTCATCCAAATCACATATTAAAAAATGACAGAGGTACATAAGATATTTTTTGATAAGGCAGACGTATATAAGCTATTAAAGGTCTTTTTCTTTCCAAAAATTTTAAGCTTAATAGGTATAAGCATATAACTTTATAACCTTATTATCAATATAGAGAGCCTGTACAATGGGGAAAAGTTTAACATCCCCAAATTCTAATAATAAGTTAAAATAATATGCAATCAGTATTTATGAACAACATGTTATAGAAATAAAATGTCAAATAATACCTTGCGATAATGGTAGCTCATTTAAATCCGGTAAAAGAAGATTTGTATGCACATTTGAAGTCGACAAATGAAATCGCAGATCTTGTTGTTGCGTAGAATTCGGATACTGTGCCTGAGACTGAGACGATGAAATGTGTGCACAACTCTTTATGGGTGTACTATGTAACCGAGTGGGATTTTGTCGATTTATTATGTCAGTTAATGGTTGTTTCACTTTCCCTTTTTCAAAAGCATTCCCTCTGATAATAATAGGATCAACAAAGTCTGTAAACCATAAAACAAAATTAGCTAACTGTCAGAAGTTTTCCAGGAAACTATTGAACCGATGACGAATGTCGTGCCATGACATGTTTTACTTATAAATTTATTCCTATGTTCTCAGACCAAAGTGCGTTTAAAGTGTAAAAAAAAGGTTATACTTCGTTGACCCTAATTACAATCAAGGAATTTAGGAATAATTAAAAATAGTTCCAATAGAGTAATCTATACAACATAATCAACTAATCTAAGGAATGTTTAAAGCCAACAACCATCCATAAAGGCAAAAATATGAGTAATGAATAACTGATCTGTTTTGTGGTTTTTCTCTAATTGCAACTGACTAAAGCATATATAAACGCGACTAATAAATATGATAGGCCTATATAACTATTGTCAAAAGAACTAAAATAATGCTTTTAGATTCAATTACCGCACAAGAAGTATGGGATGGTCAAACAGAACAGAGATGATAACAAATTATATAGAGTGCATAAACTACATAATTTTCTCTTCATCATTAGAATGGACACCAATAATATGCTACAACTTTGAATAGTTAAAGAAGCTTAAGGACTTGATCAATAGTTTATGGCATAATAAGAAGGGAGGGAAAAAGACGAATCAAGCCAGAAGAAGGAAAATATAATTTACGGCAAAGAAAAGAAAAGAGCACAACTGTACTGTAACAAACGGACTGCATACCATACATATTTGTCTGTTTTTCATATGTCACGATCAGTTTTTAGTGTTAGTAACTTTAAGTAGAATATTATATAATTTTATATTAAAAATCTGTAAATAGTGATGATAACAGTTCATACCTTTGTTGTTTGAGGAATATTTAGGCCGTTTCTGATTCCGTATGCATATTCTATTTTTTCTTGCGAGTTCCCTCTCTTCTTCCATGTCAAACTGCCGTAAAAACAAAATGTGGTGTGAGAAGTTGTAGAGTGTTTTGGAAAACCAAAGTAAAATTTGGCGGCCTACTTGCCAACCCTCAGTGTGATGAATCTGATGCACAAGAAACTATATTTTCTGGTCATCCCATCTGATTCAATTTGAACGAATTCTGAAGCAACTACAACAGGCTTGAGAACAACACTATTTCCTAAGAGAAAGTACTGAAAAACCTAAAAGCATGAGATTCTTGGATACATATCACAAAAATTTACAGCCGTTCATGAGATTGGCAGTTGATCGGAATATTTGGTGAGAAACTGAATTTGGTGTGAGAAGTTGTAGAGTCTTTTGGAGAAGAGAGAGTAGTTGATAATATGCTGCGCCTATTTTTGCATTTGATTGGGGTTTTTGTATTTTAAGTCCTCTTGTTTTGAAGTAATATTACTTTCACGGATAATTTTCACTCATGTTAATTAAGATGAGATTAGAAAATAATGAGGTTAATTTTAACTCTTTGGTAACACGGTTCAGGCTCTACAACATGTTAGCATATATTTTGGCCTTTATACGTAACTTGTCTCTTTCTTTTAACTTTTTAATATTTATAAAAAATAATTATTACTGTTAAAAATCAAAGTGCAGTTTATTTTCCCTTTAATTTCTCAAAAGCAACATGTCAAAATCACTAAGGAGGATAAGTTCAACAGACAGACAAATGGAACATATTCCTGCAAAAAAACTTCCTTTTTCATAATATTTATTAGTTTAGTTTGATTCTTCGATTTATTTAAATCTGAAGTTGAATAATATTGGGTCATACTTGCATTTTATGAACAAAGATTAGAACTTTGTATCTAACACTTGTGGTTTAGTACTTTTAATTTTGATTAAGGTTTTTGGTATCAACTTCCTAATTAACTACCTGCTATTTCTTCTAGCGTGTGCCTATGTTGTGTCTTCAGTTTCTTCCCCTCTTTGAATTGGGATTGGTTTAATATCTTATTTTCTCTCTTTTGTTACCACGATTAAACAAAAGTTCAAATGTTGGAACATAATTTGTCATAAAGTTATGCCTGTTTATTATAATTTCACATGTTATTAATGCTCCCTGTAATAGAAGACTTCTGTATTACTGCTATTTTACTTAAACTATGAGCTTGAAGGATGCTTGTCTCAGAGAAGCAAGGCGTATGTTGGGAAGTTAAGGTAAAATTATCTACTCATTTAAATGTGGGAAAGTATCATTTATAAGTGATGATGACTCACTAAAAAAATTATATGACTATAATGGAATGTCGAAACGACGATGCGCTTGTGCCGTTGGAAAGAGGAGTTATGGAACTACAATATTTAGAGGAAAATAGGTCGAGATTGTTTGTTGATTTATACATATATGCTTTTGAAATCAGTTATGAAATTCTGATTTTTTGTTTTTTTACAGCTTTGCGTGTCCTGGATAAAAAAAAAATCATATCTCTATGCAGAAACGCCCAAAGCACGATCCGCTTCTGCCGTTGGAAAGAAAACTTATAGAAGTACAATAACTATTTACAACAGGTCCAGATTCTATGTTGATTAATACAGATATTCTTTTGAATTCAGTTATGAATATTTGGTTTTCCAACTGATTGGTGTTTTCCCGCTAATGAGGCAGCCCCTTGACTCTTCACTTCACCTTTTAGAATCGTCAACGAAATAGGCATTCGATGTTGTCATAAATATCTCGAGCGAAGCTACCAACTTGAAGGTTCTTGTTTCGAAATCATCCGTTCATGAAAATACACTAATTCTCTCAATAAACTCATGAAAGATGATTTTTTTTTGGTTTAACTGTTTTGAATGTGGTTGATAAATTTAGTCTGCAAGATACATCAGTTTAAATATTCTCTCTCTGTTCTTTGTTTTGTTGAAATGATCCGCGCATCGGTGGTGAAGATGCATGATGTAAGTTGCTTTTTTTTTGGTTCGGACAAGTTAGTCTCTAGTTGTTGAAAGATCCCTGATGGGTGCATTTATAAGCTATGAAAAACATGCTTTAGATGACCTTATGGTACATCAGTTACTGTAAAATGTAAGCTCTTGTGCACTAAGTATTTGGTTTGAATGTGATAAGTTTTCTGCACGACTTAGACTATTATCAGTAGCGACCTTCAATAATTTCCAATGCCATGAATTCTGTTGTAAAGTGATTTAATTTACATATGTCTGTAAACATGGCCGATTACAACATGGTTGATTACAGATAACAGAAACCAAGCAAACCGCTTTGCGCTTCGGCATATCCATTGCCAGTCACTTGCAACCAGAAGTTCCATTTCTGTTTTAGTTCAATCGGCTTAGAAGCATTTTTAATTCAAATAAGACTTTTGCAGCAGCCATAATTATGGCAAAAAGGGCTTGGAAAAATCATCATTGGCAGTAGATTCAAGTCCACAACAGGGTATTATCATTTTTCCAAATTTTCGAGCAATAATCGGCAAACACATGCTTAATGTTCAAACTCTAATCGATAGTGTAATCAAAAATAATTTGCATCATTTCTTGACTGCCTTGTGGACACAATATTTGACAGACTCTTGAAAGGATTAATAATACAGTAGTTCAATTCCATCGTTATATTGATGTAGGTCGAACCTGCTATGCTAGTTCCAGCCATTGTCAATCTATCAACAAAAATGAGATAGCTTCATCCTCACATCAATTCAAGGCTACCAATCAACCATCAAAGCTTCAAGAGGCAGCAATCTATATAGCTTGATGGAGAAATATATCAACCAAGAATGGAAAAGAGTTTCTCGAGCACATATAAAAAAATGTAACAGTGAAATGGGTCAAAACAATAACAAATACAGGCAAGTAGCCTCTCCACTAACAAAAATTATCTATGTGGTAGTAGAAACCAATGGATTGTCTTATGTAAATAAAAACGAAAAGGCAATACCATAAAATACCATGAAAAGCTTCAAATTACTTGTCCATAACTAATGAAATTCAAAACAAACTAAACCAGAGAGGTTCAGTAGGTTCAAAAACATGAAATGATACAAATATGTTGTTCATAACTAATAAAACTACAAAACTAACTTATAAGACCCGTTTTTGGTTTCTCCAACTATTACATATGCAAACACCTTATGTTGTTTTCTTCTTCTTAAACACTCTCTTGATCTTATTTCCAGACAACTGTGCATTCGGATCTTCTTCAACCACTGTTGCGGCATTAGGTATACCTATCTTGGCAGGTGTGTTTGCAATATCGATCAACTCATTATCTTCAGTAGAGCCCTATAAATTTAAAAAGAAAAACGCACACAGAAGTAAGCACAATGTAATTTTATAAAGCAGAGAATGTGATCTATGTTTATTTACTGCAAACAGATTCACTTATTTGTTTTTCTATTTGTTCAAGCAGATCCTCGCAATAGCAGCTATGAAAATCAGAAATGATGGGCACCAAAAAAAAATAATACAGATTCAGTAACGGCCCTTCGAATTATCCCCTAGTCAACTATATACTATATGTAGAAAAGCTTAACTGAGATATGGCCCTACATATTTCAGGAGAATGAGAAATAACCAACCTCAAAATATGGTTTTAACATCCAAATCCAGTTTTAACTTCTACCTTTCTCTTACGTGTGTGTGAAGGCTATATGCTATTTTCATGAAACATGATAAATAAGTAACAGACGAAAAGGCAATACCATAAAATACCATGAAAAGCTTCAAATTACTTGTCCATAACTATTGAAATTTCAAAACAAACTACTCCTCAACATTGTGTAGTTTTTAAAAAATAAATACCAGATCTGAAAATTGTACAGAAATATATCCATACACATATATAAGTAGGTGTCATGGTAAAGGACAAATAAATATTAGCGATGTATTTACCTCGAATTCATTCTCCCCATCTACGCCTTGATCAGTATTGAAGTCAGGGTCCTATCAAACATTAAAAAATAAATGAGTTTGAAAACAGAGAAAAACATTGGCAGTTTAACAGAAATGCTAAACTTAGATATGTTATGAAGTTTGTCAGCGAAGATCACATACGGTGAAGGCATCTGAAGGTGGAGCAGGACTATATTTTTGTATAAGGTGGTCATCATCGGTAAGCTTAACAACACTATAAACTTCATCTTGCAAACGAAGGTTCGAGCTCTTGACAATAACCTTAAACATGAATTTTCTCTGAAGAATATTATTCAACTCCATTGGATAGGAAGGCTTATCAACACCGCCAGTATTCTAGAACCAAATTTTGCGTTACAATTTTTTTAAAATAAAAAATATGAATATAAGTAGTTAATATACCTCAAGTAATCCATCCTTCAATTCATTTGCAGACTTGCCTATGAGAAATATGGCTTCGCGGTCCCAGAGCAATAGTGAAACAGATGCAGTAGTATCCATGACCCTAACCCGAAGCCTGTACCTAAATGCACGTTTGATTTGAGATATAAATATATGTTTTGATGGATTAAGGAAATAGAGCTTTTGTGATTACCTATTCACAGCTGAGTAATCTTCATTTTTACATTTTGGGTTTGTACAAGAATAAATGTTTCCCAGTTTATCGACCTTCTTTTGACACTTTTTGCAGCTGATATATGACCACCCTCTTTGAAGTTCTAAATTTTCAATATTTGCAACAATCCAACAGGGACCTTCCTGTTTAATAAATTGATAAAACTTTATATAGTGAAGTGAGATAGTCTATATGTGCGAATCGGGATTGATATAAATTAGGAATATTTTATATTAGAAATATTCTAGTGCTGATACATACAACTTAGTTGTACAAAGATTAAAGAACGTAGTTAAACCAAGTGAATGACCAACTACAAAAACGTATTCATAGACATATAGAGTCTCCACGTATAATATGTTGGTCTTCGGTAATGTTATGTGTTTCTCAGTATTTATCTTTGGCAGCATTAATGGACCAGGAGAAGTATCTCTTAGCAGCCCGTAGGTACAGAAATGGTGCTCACATTGAATATACAGAAATGGTGCTCAAATTACGTTATAAAAATGTTTGGTTTAGCAATGCAAAAGTTTTAAACAGTACTTATAAACAGGCAAAATTTTATAGCATAATTAATTTTTCTTATACAGCAATACAATAATGAAAAAAAGTTTCATGATTTTTAAATTTTCTCAAAATAGATAAAACATATTAGCAAAATAGTTATAATTATGCACAAGATAGTTTACTTACTTCCATGGACTCCACTAATTCGCCAATTGTTTTAACTTGAACAACGCCTTTTGACAATTCATCCGAGACGGAGTAACTTTGTTGAGAGATAGTTTGAGTCAATCTTTCAGAGTAATTATCTCGAACAGAAAGTAAACTGTATTAAAGAAAGAGTAAAACAATCAGAGGTATAGTTCAAAATATAGATTTGAGTATAGTTGGTGGGGAAGATATGTATATTAAACAGTGTTTTAAACTCGTTAGATTGAGGAAAATTTGGATTAATCCACAGCTTCGATGTATTCCAAGTATTGCGCACAGAATATGAATCTGCGAAACAACGTATGTATTAGATGTAATGAATAACTTTTCACCAAATAAAGACATATTAATAATATAATTTTACCTTGAAATTTATGTGCTTTTATAAGCTACATAACAACAACCATAGGTTGATCGTTAGAACTTAGCAGGTGAGGTACAATTTCATCAACAAATTCGCCCCAGAATGTAGCAGACAACTTGTTCCTCCTATTAAAAAAATAGATATATAAATTTTAGTTGATGGAATTGCCAAATTCATTAAAAAGCAGTGGATTGAGTATTTGTTCTTACTCATCATCTTCTAGTTCGACATTCATAAACTTCCTAGAAACTCCAGCTTGTATGTGCGTTTTTACCTCACTAAAACCGACGATTTCTCCAATCACATCTAAAGAATAAGAAGATATTAAAATAAGAGAAAAAAGATCATTATTAGAATTTTGAGGTAAAAGTTATTATTACTGAATAATTCAGTCTCGTCCACATCAATCTTATTTATCAATTGATCATATGGCCGCAAAACGAAGATATTCATTGGGAAAAGTTGATCAGATGTTTCAACCACTGTTGTCTGTTGAGTAAATGTGAGCCTTAAGTTATGTTTTGTGGTTTTGAACTTCTCTTTATTTTGACAAACGATAAAGTTCGCCATAACATATAATCCATGCTCATTAAGTTGTGTTTTGAAAAGGTGCAGCACTGACTTGCCAATAGAAGCTTGTATCCGATCGCCCTTCAAAGAAATCACATGAAATACATACATATAGTTGAACTTACAACGAACAACTCAAATATATTTTTCTAAATATAAGTCAATGTGAAAATTCTTCGAGTTAATAAGTTGGAAAGAATTGCATTCGGATGTTACGTTCTGACAGTTGGCTATCTAACAGGTCCCTCTACCTAAACTGAATGGTTTAGTTTTGGCAAATTTGAAATTTGAAAATGATGGTAAATTTTTTAACTAAAAAGAACCTCAGTTTAAGCAGAAGTCAGGCAAATATGCAAATAGTGATAAAAGTTCATACCTTCATTATCTTAAGTAGTCGCTGGGATTGTTATATTATTTTCTTTTCCTTTTTCCAACTTCTTTCTTTATTAGGAGGTATTAAAAAATGGAAGAGAACAGAGCTAATCCAGATTTGTAACTTAAAACAGAGAAGCAAAACAAATTAGTAAGACAAAAAACTGCCACTTGTTAGTATCTTCAAATCTTGTAGAACCAATTCAATCGTGAAAGTAGCGTTAATAAACGTATGAAGAATATAACAACAAATCCAGATTTTGCAACGTAAAAAAATAGAGAAGCAAAACGAATTAGCATGTAAAAAAAATTGATTTTTAATGCCTTTTCATATCGGAGAACAACATCTTTGATATTTTTTCTTTTAGGTAATCAAAGAACTTGGTATTTTCCATATTGTTTCGATAAAAACAGGTAGAGATTCAAAAGAAGGCAGAAATAAGCAAAATAGCAAAAAAGTAAAGAGCATTCAAAGCGAGCACGGCTAAGAAAAAAAAACAGTGCAAGAAAAAAGAAAACCAACATATATTTATATATACTGTTGCAATGAATATATTGTAAGACAAAAAAGTGAATTGTTGTAGTATCTTGTAATCTTGTAGAACCAATCAAGAAAGTAGTGTGAAGAACATAACAACAATTCCAGATTTTGCAACTTGAAAACAGAGACGTAAAACAAATTAGTAAGTAAAAAATTGATTTTTAATACCTTTTCATCTTGTAGAACCAATTCAATGGAGAAAGTAGTGTCTGGATTGTAACGATCTGGGACTTCCTAAAGACGAACAACCCGAACTTTCAACCTCCATTGCATTTTTGAAATTATTATATCCATGATGAAATCAGTGTCAGTAGCCATAATTTGTAGAATCCTTTTGTTTTTTTGTTGAATTTCTGATATACGACTGCCTTTGGTTTATGTATAGAGTATCAATGGAAGATATATAAGTTGGTATAGTCAGTTTTGAGCAGTTGAAGATGATTGCCGATCGTGTATAGGTTCAGATAGCGTAGGTTTAGATAAAATCTAAAAAACGTGTGTATTCACGTTCACATGTAGATACGGTTACTTGTTTATTTAAAAAAAGAAAAACCTAAAAGAAAAGAGAAAAACGTGATAGACTTAGTTGACAAAAGTAGTTATTGAATTATGTAGGATTCCCCAAAATAGAAGTCTAATAGGATGTTTGTAACGTAGTAATTCTTTAAAATGGAATAACTGTCGGTTTTATGTGATTTTTTCCCCAATTAATATATTAGTTCCTATTTTTGTGGAGGTTTGTCCTAAAGGGCCAATTGTCTTATTTTCATGCTGCCACTTGTCAAAAAAAGGGGCTTCTGCCTCTGCTTTTATTAATAGATAAATTTGCTAATTAGTTGAATTAATCTTTGCACAAAGGAAAAGAGAGGACTTTCCCGACTTCCATGTTAATTATGTGAACAAACTGACTAATTCTATGTCTCTAATTCCCCAAAATATATATAGGCAGGTATAGTATCACATGTTAATTAATTAAACAAAATTTCTTATTTTTTGAGTCAACGAATGATTTGAATTGGATATTTATGGTGGCTAACTAAAGAGTTGACCCCTCTTGGATTAAAATAATTTACAAATTTGCAGATCTAGTTTAAAATAAAGAAAAAAAGTTGACCTACCTTCTTTAAAAATTAATCAATCATACGTTTAGTTAGACCAGGAATCTAAATATATTACTCGGACGCCAACAGCGGACAAGTACAGCCAGAGTAATACTACCTCCGTTCATTTTTACTGGTTCACTATTAACTTTGCACGCTCCTAAAAAAATAATAAATAAAATGCATAATTTACAATAATACTTATATTAATTGGTGTATAGTCTTAGTGAATTTGAAAAATAATTTCGAACGAATAATTAATCTAAGGGCAAAATAAAATAAATAAATATTTTTCTCTTGATATGCGAAAAGTGACAAGTAAAATTGAAAATTTATTTTTAAAAATACTTAACAAATAAAAGTAAAACGAAGGAGTAGTTGCCAAGTATATGAAAAGCTTGAAAGAAAATCAAATCACATAATCTCATCACAGCACCAAAACACAAGTTTAATCGCACGTGCAAAATCTGGGAAATATATTGTCTGGATTATTAATTGCATACTAGTTCAAAAAGAAAAGAAATTACCATGGAATTATTTTTCGAATAAAATTAGAATAAAATTAACTCTAAAATTAAATTATCGGTTTACCTTTAATGAAATAATTTATGATTTTTCAAAATTCTTTATTTCTTTATCAAACTCTAAGTCTACTCAAATAGTATCATATAAATTAAGACGGGTGTAGTATATTATTCAAAATAATCTATAACATATAAAATAAAAATAAAAAAATTAGATGGAAAATTAAGGTAACGCTCTAAGAGGAGGAAGAAAAGTGGAAGAAGGCAAGTTTTCTAAATCAATAAAAATATGTACTATTATTGCCGTATCAAGTATGATTCTGATATTTTTATCATGTTCTATGGAATGGACATCTCCACCTTTTATATTTTGGCACATTTCTCATATGTTTCATGGGGTGACAACTAGTCCGCTGATAGTACTCTTTTTACTATTAATTCGTCCACATATATCCACTAATATCACTTCACATTTGTTGTCTCTCTCTCCTCCATATTTATATATATATATATCTGCATCTAAATATCTTTATTTTATGTCCTTTGTGGATGGCTAACTCTAAAACAAACAAATAAACAATATCCAGAAGTTTTCACTTTCTTCATACAATTTATTCCTTTTCTTTTTGTTCAAAACAATGGGTGCTAAGGAAGTTCTAATCTTGGTGCTTCTATCTATGTTCATTGTTTTTCCTTCGTGCCACGGCGAAGATGAGTGCTTGAATCCGTATTTGGTAGATCAAAATTCTTACGTGAAAGATTATATAACAAAATTAGCAAATGATACGGAGACAGTGAAGTGGATGATAAAAATAAGGAGACAAATTCACGAGAACCCTGAACTTGCTTATGAAGAATTTAAGACTAGTGGTTTGATCAGAGAGGAGCTTGATCGGATGGGAGTAAAGTACCGGTGGCCGGTGGCTAAGACCGGAGTTGTTGCCACCATCGGCTCCGGTAAGCCGCCATTTGTGGCTCTCAGAGCAGACATGGATGCTTTGCCTATTCAGGTTAGTGCTCTGCTTGGAATTTTCTCAATCCTGCAATTATAGTCTTAATTTATCTTCAAAACAAAAAACGGTAAGAATATTTATACTATCAAGTTAATTTAGTTGATTTACAACCACGGATAACCTTTAACTGTTTTATTCACTTTAAACATCAAAATTTTCTTTTCTCTAGTTCTTGAATTTGTGGGGTTTAGGAGGTAGATCTATAGGCCTAATATATACTACTATGTATCTTCGAATTTACTTCTTACCTTTGTCTGTATTTCATTAATGGTTTTGAAGATTGTTAGTATTAAGGATGTTTGTAATGACAATGGTACGGGGATCATTTATACTAATGTTATTCGGTCCGAACTAGGGTGTAGGCAGTAAATTTGAGTCATTTTTATTTTTATTTTGTGGGCGACTAAATTAACTATGGCAGAAGAAGAAATTACTTGCGGCAATTTACTTTCCATTTTAGTCAGAAATGGCGGCGGCAGCTGTAATATTTAAGCCGTGAAAGGAACCACATAAATTTCTCCACATCTTTCGTATAGTTAATCTCAACTTATTTTGAACTAATGTGTAGTTACTGTTGTTGTTTGACAAATCATTTCATCTCCAATTACTTAGGTTTCAATTCTAAGCTACTTAAAAGAAGCTCATTAATTAACATATTGCTCAAAAGCCAAAGGATCTGAATAAAGTATAGAGTTCGAAACAGTTTAGTTGGACTACCAACCCATTTATTAACTACTCTGGAGTAGTATATATTATACCTAAAACAAAGAGATTCCTGAGTTTTGAAACTTCATTGGGAAAAAGAAATTAAAACACTTCAATTCGCAGTACCATAAGTAATATTACTCCGCTAATGCATTTACTTTGAACATCAAATATCACTTGTAATCTAGACAACAGAAAAAGAAAATAAAGATCATACGTCGGATTTGGTTTCACTAAGGAAAGAGTTTAATAAGTTGTAGAGTTCAATATCATATATTATGCCTCTATAAAATGGGACTCTATATTTATTCTCAATTAATCAAAAAATCAATTAAATTAGACTATGAAGTGAATAATTTGATCAATAAAAGAGTCGCGAGTCAAAGTGGAATTCTTCTAATGTAGGAATTGGCGAAATGGGAACACAAGAGCAAAGTTGATGGAAAAATGCATGCTTGTGCTCATGATGCCCATACTAGCATGCTTCTTGGTGCTGCCAAGATATTACAACAACTCCGCCACAATTTACAGGTTAAAAAAAACCCTGAATTAAGCTCTATATATATATATACATATCTAAGCGCATGGATTAGTTAATGAATTTAATTACCGTGTATTATAATATTGCAGGGAACAGTGGTGTTAATTTTTCAACCAGCAGAAGAACGAGGGTATGGGGCTAGAGATATGATAGAAGAAGGAGTTCTTGAAAATGTGGAAGCTATTTTTGGAATACACTTAGTTC